TATTGTGAAAAACCAAAATTTTCAATGTCTTTTTTAAATAAATTTTTATTAAAAAATTAAGTGGTTATGGAAGTAATTTTTTCTCCATTTTTTTTTTCTTTCTGCTAATCAAATTTCAAGAGTGTAAAAAAAATCCATTTCTTTTATTTTCTGACCATTTCTATCCAACCAAATGGAGCCTAAAGATTTTGGAACAATTCTTTTTATCTTCCTCTCTTTTTATAATTACAGTGGCATGAAACCTTAAAATTCTAAGACCATGCATTTGTAATCCAGCCCTTGATCCATGCTAAACCGTGCTCATACTCTCTCATTTCAGACTATATATATATATATATATATATATATATGCGCGCGTGTCTTGGAAATCAGATATAGTAGTATAATAATAATATATTATAATTTTTTAATGCTTAGTTCTAAATACGCGTGCACTAAAGTGTCATGGACAATTTCAATTGTTGTAGAAAGCAAGGGCAAGCATGCGCGCGCGCGCACACACACGATCCCAACCAAAAAAAGAGAAGTGGACTTGGACGTGAGCACAATTCAAGAGAGCTTGGCAATCTTCTAATTAGGTTATATTTAGCCGTATTCAATTCACACTGTGAATTTAAATTTGAAATTAAAAAGAATTTATTACAAAATTTAAACTAAATTTGATATAATTCTATATTCAAAGCGTCGACTCGATTCAATTCTCCAAATCAATAAAAGTTGAAATAGAATGTAGTGATGTGAAAATTTTGGGTCAACCCTTCTATCAAATGGGATATATATATATATATGACACCTTATGGTAATATGGTCCACTTTACCATATATATAGGAAAGCCACCTTAAATTATTTTGGTTGGCGGGTCACATGACGTGAGATGACAAAGTCTCCGCCTTTATGTCAAATGTGCCACAAAATGAATCCCGTGAAACCCGGTTTGGTTTTATTTTTTAAATATTTTAATTGTATGCTTTCTCGTAAATAGATATAAAACTTGTCATATATTTTTTTAAAGAATTATAACCCATTAGACATGTTCACGAGATTAGTCTATAAAGTCACCCTTCACGAGTTTGTATGAAACTATGTTTTCATAATTCTAAACAAGACAATTCAATTTATGATGATGAAAATCAAATTTTACTTAAAAAAAAAAAAAAAAACAAGTTCCAAACCATAACATTGCCAAGTCTTTTGATTTTTTTGTTATATTTTTCTTTCCCTATTTTTTATTTTTATTTTTTATTTTTAAAGTTGAACTAATTGATAATTTTAAACATGTATTATTAACATGTGTTCAATGACTAAATTGGTATTACCATTGAACAAGTGGTTTTTTTTTTTCAAAGTAAAATATGAATGCAATATTGGTATATATTTAACAATTATTTACTATATATTTAATTAGCTTAATATTTAAAAAAAATTATAAAAAATATCATTTTATAATTTAAATAGCATAAAATTTAAGGACGATATAATAATAATATTACATTAAACCAAATATAAAAGATAATTTTAATACCGACCCAAAAAAAAGTTGACCAATTAACAAATTATATTGAATTAAAACACAATTGGTTCAAATGAGTTGGGGTCTCTTGACCCGACAATGTGCCATTTGCCATTGCTGGCTAAGTAGCTAACCAACAAAACTCCATTTCAAGCCGTTTTTTTATAGAATAAGAGACAAAAGTAAAACCCCAACACACACACACACACACACACAATTTTTTTATTTAACTTGGCAATTTCTTTTGGTTGTTGGGACTTGGCATTCACGTTATCAAGTATTATTATTATTATTATTATTATTATTATTATTATTATTATTATTATTAGGGTAAATTGAGAAAAACACCTCTAATATTTAAAATTTGGACAAATTACATTCTTAATCTTTATTTTAGGTATATAAATTCGTTAAGTCTTAAAAAGTGAGCAACTAAGGACTTAATTTATATAATATGTCAAAAAATCATATATAAGCAATCATGTGCATTGCATATGCCTATGTTAAGTAACAAATTCTCTAAACTGCCCTTTTTGTCTACCCAAAAACCATTATATCATTTTACATATAAACACATTATTTCGTTTTTTATTAAGGTACTTTGGTTATTTTACATTTATTTTGCTTTTATTTTTTTTTTTTTCAAATACATAAGGGCACTTTAGTCTTTTAATCGCTCCAATGACAACAGGTCATTGTTCGCACCAAAAATAAAAATTAGGGAATTTTAAGAACCTATAAAGGATTGTATACCCTATTTGCATATATAGGGGTGTTCATCACTTGTGACCTTTATTATTACTATTATCACTATTCATGGGCAATTTTGTCTTTATAATTTATGAACCACGAAAGTTCATATGTATAGGGGGTTATACACGTTTTCCCCTCATAATGCATCTAATTATTGTAATATCACTCTCTTGAGGAGATATAATAGAGAGTGACTTGAATTTCTGACTTTCTATAATAAATGGTGAATGGGTACGACAAATTTAAAACCTTTGTAGATGTGTAAACTGAGACATTAAATAGGGTAACTATTTTCTATAATGCAATAAATACTCTAAACTTTATTTTTTACCATCATTTATAACTTTTGAAGATGAGTAAACTGAGGCATTAAATAGAGTAACTATTTTCTAAAATGCAATAAATACTCTAAACTTTATTTTTTTATCATCATTACTAAAATTATGAAAAACTAATCATATCATGCGCGTATTCATGGAAGATAAATATACAATTGTGTTGGAGTTCCAGACCCATTAGAAATATGAAGTAAATAATAGTAAATGAATGTGTGTTTCTTTTAATTTGAAAATTTTCTCTCCACTTTTAGTTTTAGGAACTAGTAATATATATATATATATATATATATATATATATATATAACAAGTTATTTTAAGCACCCTTTAAGTTGGTAAGCTAAGTTGAATTTCAGACCAATTTTAATGTTTTAGAAGATTCAAACTGTCTAAGCATTTAATTTTTGATATTGATCGCTTTTAACTTATTGATAAGTTCACGATCATTACAGTTTTAAAATACATTATATCATAAAAATATGTTCAATCTACATATATATATATATATAGCACTTATCTATTTTATTGTGCATCTGTAGCTCATCCAGTGTGATAGCTTGCTGGTACTATCTGCAGACGTTCAAATACACCCGCCCACAAAGTCGCTACAGTTTCCACATAAAATATCTTTTTTGAAAAATGATTTAAAAAAAATTAAAAAATATTTTACTGGATACAGTTACCCTTAATTGTGAGAGGCAGATAAAAGTAAAAATTAAAACGGAAAAACCAAGGTGGACAGTGGAAAAATCCGATAGCAACTCTTTCGAACGAACAACAGAAAAACGTTGACCACAAGCGACCTTCAGAGTTGCGTCGTTTTGTCCACGTTGGATTTACTCGTGCTGTCACCGGCTGTTCCCCGTAATCCTCACAGCAAACTAAGTACTGTCCGTGCGCCATTCTCTCTAAGGGCTCCGCAATTACCGGTAGCCGGTAAACTGACGTTGAATTCTAAAATCTTATACGCGCGTCACCTAACTCCCCCCTTCTCCTTACTTTTCATGACTCTCTCTTTCTCACACACACACACAATTAAATAAAATATTTGTTGCTAATTAAAAATGTATTATTCTTGTTTATTTATGAAGTAAACGAATTGTACTCTCTTTTTAAATTCCTTTATTTATAATTTGGCCAATGACAAGTTGGATTTATCTAACACCTGAATTTTTTTTTTTAGATTTTGAAATTTTTTGTGTCAAATTATTAGTAGAAAAGTGCTAAAAATAATCAAAAAATATACGTAGTAATAATTATAACAATACAATATATAATATAAAATAAGTGTTTCACCACACATTGATTCGATTCAACTTTCTAATACATATAAATCAAGATTAAGGGTTATTTCTGAATTTTGCCACAAAACAAATCAATTCTTAAACAAAACATGAATGAGAGCCAATATACATATATAGGAAAAGAAAAGAAAATGAATAATCCTGTCTTTTTCAAAACATGTCATTTGATTTTTTAAAATTCCAATTCTTTTGCGTTTAACTTTTTCATTTGCGAGTTCAATTTGAGTTTTTTCTAATTAAAATCGTGATGAACACGAAAGGTTGAGCTCGTATTTAATTGCCTAAATAAAATAAGTCAATTTTTAATACTATTTTTGTGTTCAAACTCATTTGATATTATGTATGAAATCACTTTAACTCGTTCATAAATTCATAAGAACTTACACAAGCCTATGTTTATTCTTATAAAGCATAAATGTGCACTAATAAATTAATAAAACTATAAAAACTTACATGATCTTCATGTTTTGAATTGACTCAATTATTAAATTAATTCAAAAATTAAAGTTGAATTAAACTCACATATTACCTCCGTTCCATGTTAATTGTCGACTTTAAAAATTTTGACTCACAAAATTGTGAGTCAAAGTTTTTAAAGTGAACAACTATGGAATACAAATTGTATATAAAAGGAATATAATTAAAAGTGATATTAAATGACTAAAAAATAAAAAGAGATAGTAAGTCAAAGTTTTCGAAATGAATAACTAATATAGGAGGAAGTAATTAATAATAAATTCAAGAGTTTTTAAACCAGTTGAGCTTCAACTATTTATTAATAACTCAACTCATATACTGTGAAACATAGGACTACAAATGTTTAGTAGTAGTTAATTTGAATTATTTTTATTTTTTTGGGAAAAAATATTAGGGAGGAAGAAGGATGCGCGCGAACTCTAGATCATCCCAATCGCTTAAGCTACACCGTTAAACAGCTTTAACATTGACAGCTAATGGACAATTTGGTAAATGTACAGCTCTTTCTCTCTCTAAAACCGGCTATTGCCCGTAACTTTCTTACAATAGAGTTTGGGATTATGAAACTGGATTGTGACGGTCCGTTCCACTCTCTCTCTCTCTCTACATAAAGACTCCCTCTCTCTCACCTATATATACACACTCCCGCAGACATGCTCATTTTTTCTCTTCTTCTTTCTCTCTCCTGTCTCCTCGTCGACTACTGGCCGGCGAAACCGTCGCCTTCCGTCCGACCAACTCGCCGGAGAATCCCACCATCCGCCATTTGAGCTCTGCAAGGTTCGCTCTCCTCTCTATTTCTCTGTCCTTTTTTCCTTCATTTTCATGCAAAGTAGCTTCAGATCTGGTTTCTCTTCTACATATTGCTCACTTTGCTTCATTCTCTCTCACAAAGTTCTTTAATTCGCGATTCTTCTGTAAGTTTTTTTCCGTGTATTATTGTTCTTGCGGCTTTGATTTTCTTTTATGTTTTTGAATTTCTTTTGTGGATCTTGATTTTTATTTCTAGTAAATTCCAAGTTTTTCTAAGGATTTGAGAAATGTAGTTTAGGAATATTGCAACTAGAAGCTCTTAAAATGTGAATAGCTTTGGATTCTCCTATTCAATCTTTTATTTATAGTATGACAAGTTTATACAACGATTAAAGGAAATAACAAAAAATACTAGGTGCAGGAAACCAAATTCGGCAACACAGAAAGGTCTATGAAGAGCTAAGTGTTTATATCTTATAGAATGTTAAAAGCAAATAAAAGTTTCAATCTTTTCTGCGTTATTTTTAGAGGTCCCTGTTTCCGTAATGTTAATTTTGGTAATTTTTTGACGTTTTGTATCTTTTTTCAAAGAAATTACTAACCTCTTTCATTCTATCTAAATTTCTTATTATGTTGCTGGTAATGGGAAGATTTTAGTCTTGGGTAATTAGTAATCAAAAGTTTGTTATGTATTTCACTTTTTTTCACCCTAAATTTGCAGATGAATAGAAGTTTATAGCTTTTGGTAGTTTTTTAATATTTGATTAACAATACACAACACATATTTGTTCTTTTTCATTTCTTTTTTCCCCGGTAATCTGTTAGTTCTTATTCATATTTTGTTTGAATTGAATTGTAAATCTTGTTGATGGGTAAGATTGTTTCGACTTTGCTTTTTGGGACTTGCATTGCAATTTTTTTTTTTTGAAAAATCTGTTGTCTTTCTATTTCTGGGTGAACATTTACATGATCTGTTTCCATGTTTGACCTTTGAAGCATTCATATTAGTTATATCCATCTTTTTTTTTGGTTTGTAGAGTTGAGAAGTATGGATAGCACTAAGGATTTTGGACTCAGGAATGTGAGTTCCCATTGCTCGATCTCTGAAATGGATGATTATGATCTCTCGAAACTTCTCGATAAACCGAGGTTAAACATCGAGAGGAAGAGATCGTTTGACGAGAGGTCACTTAGTGAGTTGTCAGTTGCCTTAGCAAGAGGCCTAGAGTACCTTGATCACACATACTCACCTGGGGGAAGGTCGGGATTTGATACCCCAGCTTCATCAACTCGGAACTCTTTCGAGCCCCATCCAATGGTTGCTGATGCTTGGGAAGCTCTCCGCCGATCTTTGGTATTCTTCAGGGGCCAACCTGTTGGCACGATTGCTGCATATGACCATGCTTCAGAGGAAGTTCTAAATTATGATCAGGTAAAAGTTCTTAACATGGTACCTCAAACCCATATATATATATATATATATATATATATATATATATATATATATATATATTGATAAGTAAAATAATTTAATTAAATAATTATTTACCAATACTGACTGATGGAGTGGGGATTTGAACTTGGGCCTTTGGTCACAAGCAACACATGCCTTACCAATGGGCTATCACACCACATCCCATATATTTGAAACAGTGGATATTGAAATTTGTATTACTTTGGCAATATACCATTACAATAGGAACTTTTGACAAAAAAATGTAAACCCATTAGTATTCGGAGGATATCGATATTGAAATCAGCATATAATTACTTCCAAATGTCACCTAATAGTATATCCTCCTACTCTCACATGGGATGTTGAGGCTTCAAGTTCCCGTTGGGGTAATAGAGGGTGAGTCTTACTTACCACAAAAGGAAAAAAAAAGAAAAAGAAAAAAAAAGAAAGGAAAAAATCAAGATATAATTTGAAATAAAAACTTTCCATCCCTGACCAGTCTTCAAACTTTTTTCCTTAAATTTGGAAATTTTGATCCGGTTTTTGTTAACTGTGTAGGTTTTCGTCCGAGATTTTGTACCTAGTGCTCTGGCTTTTTTAATGAATGGTGAGCCCGATATAGTTAAGAACTTCCTATTGAAGACACTTCAGCTTCAAGGGTGGGAAAAAAGAATAGATAGATTCAAGCTAGGGGAAGGGGCAATGCCAGCTAGCTTTAAAGTTCTTCATGACCCTGTTCGTAAATCTGATACTATAATAGCGGATTTTGGTGAGAGTGCAATTGGAAGAGTTGCTCCTGTTGACTCTGGTTTCTGGTGGATTATTCTCCTCCGTGCGTATACAAAGTCTACCGGAGATTTAACTCTGGCAGAAACACCAGAGTGCCAAAAGGGGATGAGGCTTATACTGAGCCTGTGTCTGTCAGAGGGATTTGATACATTTCCAACTCTGCTGTGTGCCGATGGATGCTCAATGATTGATCGAAGAATGGTAAGATATCTTGTAATCTTGTCTTGAAATCACTATTATCGATGATCGTAGTTATGAGTTATCATGTTTGCGGCTTAGCTCTTCTTCATTTAAATTAAGGGATGCTTGTTGATAAAAAATTGCTGAAAATTGTTATGGTGATTCATATAATGTTTGCGATGCTTAGCTCTTCTTCATATAAATTAAGGGTGCAAATCTGGAGCTTGTCACAAATTATTATATGCTATATTTGTTTTATAGAATAAGGTAACGGTCTCAACCATGTAATAATGCATACTGTTTGTATATTTGCTTTGTATGATGTACAATTGATGCTTGGTGTTGAGAAAATGAAGGATAAACAAAGTGAACTTTTACGAAGCATAATCCAGATCTTAGGTAGATAGTCAAGATGTAGTAGATATGCCAGAGAACTTTTATTTGCCTGGGTTTGATTTTGATATATGTTTAACTGGAAAGCCTAGCCTCCCTAGGTCATGATTGGATGATTCATATTAAGTCATCATATTTTGTTTGAATCTAATATATTTTTGTTTTATTATGAAGTTGCTAGGTCTAGAACAAAGAGAATTTGTAAACAAACCTGTATCGAGCTGACAGCACTTACAAATATAAAAGAAAATAAAAGCTTATCACCAACTGCCTAGTGTTTGGTTTGGAAAATGAAATAATTATGTATGGAACTGACAGCACTTATGAATATAAAAGAAAATAACAGCTTATCACCAACTGCCTAGTGTTTGGTTTGGAAAATGAAATGATAATGTATGGAATTGACAGCACTTATGAATATAAAAGAAAATAAAAGCTTATCACCAACTGCCTAGTGTTTGGTTTGGAAAATGAAAAAACTTATTTGCGTATATCCTGACATTCTCATAAAACAGGAAACGTCAGTCCCTTATTCTGAAAGGCAATTGTGATTTTAAATATTGTTTACTGGTCATAAATGCTTTGTCATTGTCATTCTTATTGTTCTCGTCATTGTTGTTGTTCTTTTTGTGATTACAAATATTGTTGCTATAATTTTTGCTGCTGCCCATATTTGTTGCACATTAAGGTTTAAATGGTCGTTCATTAGTTCTCAAGCTTATTTTAGTTGGGGCCCTTATTCAATGCATGCTCCATCTTAATTATTAGTGTGAACTTTTTTGATTCTTTCTGCATCTAGTCATCCTTTCAGGTGAACTTCTCTCTTCAAATTCAAGTGAGAAGCTTGTTTCTGGTGCTTTATTTATTGTAGAGTGCCTATTGCATTGTCTCTGACCTTCCTTTTCTTTTTGTTGGGTCAAAGATATTTAAACTTATAAAGCATAGTTATCTGGAAGCATATATCTGCAGACTTTGGACTTTGTTTTTCTTTGTTTTATTGGTAATTATGCTTGCTATATCTTTGGTGGCATGGATTTGTTTGAAGAATCAGATCAATCCTGCTTCAAATGAGGAAGATGATTTGTACACAGGTATTCGGTTTAAAATGTTTGAAAGTTGAGGAATATTATCAGGAATAGTCATTACATGAATATTTTCACTGTCTTGAGGAAAGGAGGATTCTGATTTCCATATCCTTTCCACTTATTCAATATTTTACATGGCAGAGTTAATATAATATTTTCCCTGTAATTATGATTTACGGTGCCTTTTGGTGTCCGGAACGAGTGAAAGCATTCTATTTTGTTTGCCATAATATTTAAATAGCACAACTAACAAAAGAGAAGATTCTAGAGAAAAGATTGGGTTAAAGAACTATTTTATGAATCATTAAAATGATTCTTGGCAAATGAGGCAAATAAAGTCATATTAAATGCTAAAATAATATACTAATGCCATCGAATTTTATAGCTACTCTGTAACACTTTATGGCACAGTTTTAATACCATGGAGTACCTGAGCGCACACTTAGTTTATTTATGGATTTATTGTAAATTGTCAAATGTGGGAGAAAGACCGCTCACTTCTTTTTCCTTCCTGCATATTACTTACTAACAAAAGCTTGTCTGTGTCATGCATTATTTGAGCCTTGTCTTTACTCCTTAAAACATAAGAAATCCTCCTCAAAATCGATCAGTTCTTTGAAAGATCTGAACCCTAAGGCAGATACGTAGATCGGTTGAGAGACTAAGCTACACTGGAACAACAACGGAATCTTGTCTGTTGGGCTAAAGTCCATTTCAACATCCACTTTCAATGGTTCAGATCACCCGCCTTCGAACGACATAAGGAAACGGGCCCGCTTCAACCAGGTCCGGGGGTCGCTCCTAGGCTTTTAGATTCTAAAAGTGATTCTGGTACATCTGAAAGTGCTGCTATACTCCTAATTCAGTATAGAGAAGGTGAAGTCTCGCCGTTAGCCCGGATTCCCACTTATCTAGGAAAGTTCCCCAGTATGCCCGCCCGCCAAATCTTCTATGGAATATTCCGCGGAAAAATACGTCACTTTTGATTGGTTAGCGACTCAATGGCTCTGCAGGCGTGACCCTTTTAATATAGAGTCAAACAATCAAAGTTCATTGGTTTAGGATTTACTTATTTGGTAAATTTAAGTTATGAACATGCTTGTTGGTTGCATGTCTAATGCTTTATTTGCTTGGGGAAATGAATTCTGTTGATTATACAAAACCTTGATGCTAGTTTTATTTATTTACTTTGTCAGTAGCTTTACATCAAGATCCATACCCATGGTTCGACTTTAAAAGTTTGTTCAAGGGGCGCAGTGCATTATTCCTATTTTTTTTGTTTGGATAGATTACAGCAACCTCCCCTGTGGTTGGGCGAAAATGTGGGAAACTTAACCTCCCTTTTAGATTTAATGATTACCCCACTCCCCTCTAGTCCATTTTTGATAACAGATCCCGCTTCTCATGCATTAGTGATGGTGTTATTTTAATGTACGAGTATTCCCTAAATACCAATCTGCCATGAGAGAGAGACAGGGAGGTTGCTTTGGGGGATCAGTAACAGGATCCTCCACTGCTGGCTTCTGTGGATGCCAAACATGTCTTGTTGCCACCACCAGCTACTAATCATCACCGCCTTTTTCATTCTGCTGAAACCATGGCAAGGACAACCAACCAATTGATTTCTTGGTTCAAGAGTGAGATAGCAAGTTTAGGCAATGAGCCCCAAGCTTTAAGGCTTTCTTTCCAAAAGCTAATCGGTGGAATGAACTATTCTTTGAACCATATATGACATTATAATTGGTGATAATATTTTGTAGGATTATGTGGGATGTTGACGATTATGGTTTTGTGGCTGTGCACTGCAAAGATGGTAGTGATGGCTTGTAGATATGGTATGATGAATGCAATTTTGGTGCTTCTGGTATTGGTGGTTATTGGTTTGATGATAGAGAGGAAGTGTGTCCAGTCTGTCCAGAGAGAGGGGAATAAGCACTGGCATTCAAGTCAGGAGTTAACAATTTTCTCAGATCATCCATTACTGAGATGGAAATTCCATGGTTTTTTTAGAAATTGCCCCGACATTCTTTGGTGGAAGGCATAATTGCATGTGTTATAGAATCTATAACAAAATTACAACAAAGTCATGTGTATAGTTCCACCTTATATTGGTCTTTACAAAAACCATGTGATTGGATGATACACACAATTGTATATCGCACATAGATGAATCTGCTTTCGTGTCCTCCTAGATAGATGCATACTTCTTCTGAATTTTGATCTTGAACGTCAAAATGAGTTACCAATTTCATGGTTACAAAAGATGAAAGAAAGTAGAATTGGTTGATAAGCAAAGAGATGACAAGGGTATTTCCTGCAGATTAAAATTGCTTTTCCATTGCTTGTATGAATGTTCAGTTGGAGGAAATTCTCTGATACTGACTGATGCAAGAGCAAAATGCTCTGATACCGCAAGACAAGGGGTGAAAGAAAGGGGTGAGAACGAGAATGGATAAGGCCAGAAGAAAAGGGATGAGAAACAAATGAAGGGAATGAGAAGATAGAGTCAATAGATAGGTTAGACAGACCAAGGGTAGAGAAGAGCAAAAATTGGGGGAGAAATCTGTATTCAGCAACTCAATATTCCATTCATTCAGAATTGATCAATCCTCTTACACAAGGCCCATATATATAGGAAAAATCTTAAGGAAACCCTAAAGAAAATCAAAAAATGACTGCTACAAAAGTCAAAAATAGCTGCAGAGAAAGAAAGCTGACATGGGGTGGTTACAGTACATCATAAGCTGCATCACCAAGGCATCATCTTCTCTGAAGAAATGTTCATGACATGAAGAAAATATGAATCTTCTACTAGTTCCCTTTCATGTTCCCTATACCATGATGTAAGCATTCTATTCACGCATTTGTGGTTGTTGGTACCTGAAGTTTCTTGGTACAAGAGTGCCAGAAAATTACTACTGAACGAATTAGAAAAAATAAGAATTTAATAAAGAATTCTCCTATGAAAATGGTGCACATCTGCAACTCAACACTAAAATTTCAGGAAAAAAATTTACTAATTTGGAGCGACTGCATAATAAGCTGGTAACTTATCTTTAATACTTTAGAGTGGACTGGGAAATTTGTCATTTGGTGGCACAAAATAATGTTTGCTGCATCTAAATTAGAAAATTATCGACCATGAACATATATTGCATCCATCTAGCTGGGTTACTAACATACCATCATAGGTCTGATGGATGTACCACCTCTTCATGTGGCATATTGTATAAGTGCTCACAAGAGTTTGTTTTACAAGTTTTTCATTGTAGTGGTTAAATTTCAGATGTATGTGCTATTGCTAATCAAGTGTGAACTTGGTTGCAAGAGAACTGGTGATAGTACTTGGAACTATGAGATTTTCTGCAACAGCATGCATAGGCTTGAAATATTCTTCTGCGGGGAATATTGGCAATAGTTTTTTTTTCTTCTTTTCATTGTACCTTTAATACATGAGTTTCTGCATAGGTTTTTCATTGTCTCATGGGCTCGTGCACGAGTTCATGCAAACATTGTTTTTTCTGTTGCAGTGGGTCGTGCTCGATACGTGCTATGCCTTTAAATACAAACTTGGAGATGGTTCGTTGCCAACCTTGGTTCAATTTTTTTAGCTTTTCTTTTGTCGGAAACTTGAGTCTTCGTCATTACTTATTTATTACTCTACTTGTATCTGAGTCACTAAAATTTATTGATGTCAATATGTTTAGAACTAATCTTTCTTTTCTAAATGCATCATAAACTCTCATGTGCTGATCATCGTTTTCTCTTTGTGACTTGTCGTTAGTTCTCCTATTAATAATATGTTTTCCACCCCTTGGTTAGTTCCTAGACTTTGCCCAATCATATTTTTCACTGTTGCAAATATGCTTAAATAATTTACAAAATGTTGGAATTTGCTTTACGTATTAGAGCCCCATTCGACCGATATACTATATAGTTTCAAATATTGAATATATCCCATGAACACATGAGCATATTTTACATGGTTCTTTACATTTGACTGCTATGGATCTTGGCCTACTTCTGCAAAGAATCAACTGTCTAAAACGAACTCCTGTTGTATGGAATTCCAATTAATAAAAAAATCGTAGAGAAGCTTATCAGTTTATAAGATTATCGTTATAGTGATTCATTTTCTTGTTCTTTTTTCGTCTAATCTTTTCTTTTTTCTTTCTGTATTCCCCCTATTAATCATCAAGGTTTTTGGAATCCAATATATTATTTTCGTGGTGGATTGCAAGATCAGACATTTTTAACTCATTATAATAGTCTGTTTATAGCATCATCAGTTATTTCATTCTTGTAGCTGTAGCTATATATGTCTCTTTATTGTAAAATCTGCATGCTACCTACACAGATTTTACATGCATCGCCTTTTAGAAGGAAATTTACTTGTTTACGATAATGTGGTGTTGTATTTAAACAAATAAAAGTTGTTTTATAATCAAGAAACTTTATGATATCAGAAACTAACAATAAATCCTAAGCTTTGAAATAAATATCCTGAGATTCTTATTGGGAGCGATTCAGCCAGAAAATTTAAAATGTTTTGGCAGCATCAAGTTCCATACTAGGATCAAGTTGTTAAAAAGCCCGTTACTCTGCTAGTCCTGTCTATGTGGGGTGGAAGTGGAGGGAAAGACTGGATCAAGTTGTTGAGGATAAAATAATTAACAACATTCTTACAATTATCATAATAATCCAGTCATGAAAAGCTAATTTATACATGTCAAAGAATAAACTATCATTGAGTTTTGTTCTTCAGTCCCTCTCTGGGATATAGTTCAGTTAAAATCTACAAGTAAAATAATAAGTCCACACTTTATCCCATTCTATATATATATTTTTAAAATTTATTTTTTAAACAATTATTCAAGCTTTTAGTGCCTCGTGCTGTCATCCAGAAATTAAACTCTTCTATATTCTAATATAATGGGTTCATTTTTCAGGGTATATATGGTTATCCCATTGAAATACAAGCACTTTTCTTTATGGCATTGAGGTCTGCTTTGGCGATGCTGAAACATGATACAGAAGGGAAAGAATTTGTGGAGAGAATAGTAAAGCGCTTGCACGCCTTAAGTTATCACATGCGAAGTTATTTTTGGCTTGATTTCCAACAATTAAATGACATATATCGGTATAAAACAGAGGAGTATTCTCACACTGCAGTAAATAAATTTAATGTTATCCCTGATTCAATCCCAGAATGGGTATTTGATTTTATGCCAATGCGTGGTGGCTACTTTATTGGCAATGTCAGTCCTGCAAGGATGGATTTTCGATGGTTTGCTTTAGGTAATTGTGTTGCTATCTTATCTTCACTTGCTACTCCTGAGCAATCTGCTGCTATTATGGATCTCATTGAAGAGCGCTGGGAGGAACTGGTAGGAGAAATGCCTTTAAAAATATGTTATCCTGCAATTGAAAGTCATGAATGGCGAATTGTAACTGGCTGTGATCCAAAGAATACTAGATGGAGTTACCATAATGGCGGATCCTGGCCAGGTTCTTCATCGTTCCCTCTCAATTCTCTCATTGAATGCTTTTATTTTCTGCACTTGAACATTATTATATAACTAATTAATATTTTGGAAATGTTCTTAAAGTGCGAATTATTAGATATAGACTTGTTCATTTGCCTGATGGGAGTCGTTGCATTAACTTCTGTTAATTCCTTATGTTTATTGAATAGATGTCAGCCACCCTTCTTATCCAACGCTTTTTTCCCCCAACAATGTTGACTGCGATTTAATAGTTAGAATTTTTGTAACCTAAAATTGTTAGTGCCTCTAGATGCTATAGCATCACAAGATTAATACAAGGGTTCATTAGGTATCTTATATCTTTTCATGTTTTAGTATTTTCTAAAAGAAAAGTTTACACAGATATCTGTGCTACTATACCCGAGGTCTGACCTCTGAGGCAGGCTTGTCCATTCACGTCAATGTGCAACTGTTGTCAGGATACCAGATTACGCGCACACATCAGTCTAAAATAGGGTGAGGCAAAAAAAAAAGGGAACAAGGGGAAAAAGGAGCTGATTCTTTGTCTCTTTCTGCATATGATTTCTACTCTTTTGTTTGATAAAAGGATAAGAAGAACCAAGGATAATGTTTGTTTCTGATTCGTTTTCCAAGTAAAATAGGGGCTGTGAGACAAACCATGCGACTCAAGCTTGGATTGCAATCAGCTCAATTAGAGGCTTGCTTAAGATCAACTCATAAGACAAACAAGCCAAGCTTTTATCACATTTTCAAACTTGTTAGTCTACTGATTGAGCTCAAACATAGGTTTATGCGCCAATGAGCATCCTAAAACTACTTAAAAAACACGCTACTTGAGCTCATCATATTGGGTGAATTGTAAGAAATACAATTTGGTATGATTCTGAATTTATCATTTTCTGTTTGATTCAAATTTCTACGAAATTTTCTACTATGGATCAGTACTCCTTTTCTTCTTCTCCCTTTGTCACCAACTTCATCACCAACCAACAGGCCAGTGGCCTAGCGGTACCAAGCCCCTACTTCTCAAAGAGAGGTCAGTGGTTCGAGCCTCCGTGGAGGCATGTGTGTGTGAGTACCCAACTAGGAAAAAAAAAAAAAAAAAAACTTCATCACCATGGTTGACTAACTATATCCTGGCTTTATCATTTCATGCGGTTGATCCATATATAGCTTCTTCTGTTCCTCGACTGCATCAGCAATGTTGTAGTACTAAAAAAATAGCTTCACTCTACAGTCTATAGATCTTGTAAAGTTTCTACCTCTTTCCTGGTAAGTTCCATATTTAGTGGTAAAATCTGGTAAATCATTTGAACCTTCTCTCTTTTTTTTTTTACCCTGTCCATTGGAAGGGTTGGTCTTTTATCAAAGAGCTTTGATCCTTGTGTAGAGATGGAAAAAGTGGTTCTGATCTTCAGCTTTGTTGCTGAATTTTATATACCTCTAGCTGAAATGGAATTCAAGTAATCGTGTTTTGTAAATGCTTAATAAGAGGGAGAGAACTAATTATAATATCTACAGCTGCAGGGATTTGTTGTACTTTAAGAAACAACGGAATATTCACTGATTTCAACTATGCTACAAAATGCTTCCAATTCATACTTGTCCAGCTTAATTTTTCTCTCTTTAGATTCTACTCTCAGAGTGTAGAAATCAGCGTTTCTTTTTGTGTTTAATTTATGTAATTTAATATTCTCCAGTTAATGTTCATGAGCCGATCTATTTTCTCTGTTGCAACATTGTTTTCTCCATCTTGAAAACAATGTTAATTTGTGTAGTTTAATATTCTCCAGTTAATGTTAACGAGCTGATCTATTTTCAGAGTGTAGAAATCAGTGTTGCATGTTGTGTTTAATTAATGTAGTTTAATATTCTCCAGTTAATGTTAATGAGCCGATCTATTTTCTCTGTTGCAACATTGTTTTCTCCATCTTGAATGCAGTGCTTTTGTGGATGCTAACGGCTGCTTGCATCAAAACGGGACGACCACAAATGGCAAGACGATTAATTGATCTTGCAGAGAGTCGTCTGCTCAAAGACGGGTGGCCAGAATATTATGATGGGAAATTGGGGAGATATGTTGGTAAACAAGCAAGGAAATATCAGACGTGGTCAATCGCGGGATATTTGGTAGCAAAGATGTTGTTGGAGGATCCCTCACACTTGGGGATGATTTCCCTCGAAGAGGACAAGCAAATGAAGCCTCTAATTAAGAGATCGTCCTCCTGGACATGCTGAGGAGCTCATGCAGCCAGGAGAAGATAGCACGGAAAGAGTACAGATAAACACGAATGTGAGGGACCTCGTTGTTTCATTTGAAGAACACTATTCTGCGGCAATTTCTGTCCTTGGAGGTGATTGGAATTTCGTTTTTGTGTACACTGCAATCTGCTGAGACTAGCCTCTTTGTTTCTCCAATAAAAGATACATTTTGATATTTGTTCTTCAATTCTTGAAAGGCAATTTGGAGACTGGTATGCTCTAACATACCCCAAAAAAAAAAAAAAAAAAAGAAAAAAAAAATTGGAAATGGTATGCCTTGAATGTTTGGAAATGGACTGTGATGAACTTTCAAAGTAATATATCGACTCTTTTTGGGTTCAAATTTTAGTGTCAAATGATTCTCTGAATTTGATCAATAACACTTGTTCAGTTCTATTCTCCCATTTTTCTGATTTTGATTTTATGATTTGCTATGCCTCCAGCAACCAGATGTTATACCAAGATTAATCTCATTTTTATCTTGTTTATGCCCTGGCTCCCCTCTGCATCTCATGCTTATCTTGTTCCATGCCCTAGCTACCCTTCTGCATCTCATGCTGATCTTGTTTCATGCCCTAGCTCCCCTTCTGTAGCTCTCAGAGAAATTTTTACATAGTCCGGGAAACTTGGTCCCAGCCAATCATTAACCTATAGTGTTAATTTTATTCAATTTTTTACTACCAAATAAATAAGCTTTATTTAATTTTTTTGGTTCCGAATCATTGGTCTTGAACCATGTAATAATTTATGGCATATATATATATATACTCATCTTCCAAACTAAAATTTTAGCTAGGAATAAAGTGAAACTAGGTGAAAAAGTATCTTACCTCTTAATTCAACACGTGCATTGTACCATCACCGGTCAGGCTGACTTGAAAAAAAACATACAAGCGATTGATCTTTTTAAACTAATGGAGCAGCGAATTTGCAATGCATGCATTACTTTCCCTTTATTGGGTGCAATAGGGAGGAAATTCGTGTCGGTGAGTCTAATTGTGTTGTCTAATTGTGTTGTATTCGGTAGAGAGTATTATATATTAAATAAGTAAATTCAAATTTGACCTATTTAATAATCATATTAAGAATCTTTAATACTATCTCGATTTATTTATTAAATATATAAACGTGTTAACTCATTTAATGACATGCTTATTAAAACGAGACATTTAATATTTAATTAAATAATAAATACTTTATTTATTTATTTATTATTATTATTATTATATTTCCCAGTTATCCTAAATATTCAAAATAAGAAGAAAATTTATAAGACGTACACAAGGTTTATGTTTAAAGGACTTAATTATCCATAATAATTAGGTTTAAACAGGTAACATATTATATAAGTCATATTTAATATTATAACATGTTGAGTTAAACAAGTCATAAACAGGTTACACCGGTTGAACCCCTCAACCCTAACCCAACATGATTAAGTAAACGGATTAATCCTGCTGATCCGTTATAACATGAATCCATTTAAAGTCAACCAAAACCCGCTTATCTTGTATCGTGTTGGCGAATGGTATCATAATTTGTCACCCCTACTCTGCCCACAAGTAAAAATCAAAAGCCTTTCCATTGCTGAACCCCTCTTGAATTTTGTAATTACAGCAATACACATACTTACAAGGGAGAAAAACTTAATTGCGCTGATTATATTAGTGATATGGTATCATCAACTAACAAGATATTGACACGCAGTGATAGGATCCACTAATACAGAGCACTTTTACTTATATGACATGATATAATTGGTTGATAGCATAAATAACGAAATATTAAAAGTGAAGAAAAGTTTTTCTTTATTTATTTGCATGTCACATTGTGACTGACTGAAATTATATAGTCCCAAACAATAAAAAAAATTTCTCATTATATATTTACATCCTTACAATGATCTAATGTGTTATAGACTTATAGTTTCTATTATATATATATATATATATATATATATATATATCGAAACAAGCCATTCAAACATTTCTCTTACCGGTTATCTTGAATGTAATACCTCTTTTTACTTTCTCAACTATCATGTCAAACGAAGGTTGCAAATGGTTATAATTCCCAAAATGAATGTGAGTCAAAGTTCTCGAAGTGGACATTTAACATGGGACGGAGGTAGTAAATAAGTATATAAAAGGAATATGACTAAAAATGATCTCAAATGATTCAAAGACAAAAGATGGTAGTGGGTCAGAGTTTTCGAAGTGAACCTCTAACATGGGACAGAGGGAGTAACAACTATTACTTTAAGAATAAAACACCTATGTAACATCATTACTTCAAGATGCATTTTCAAAGTAATGATTCGCGTCTCGAAATAGAGTATAACATATGCACAATAAAGTATGATATAAAAAATTATAGATCCGAGTCCTCGTCATCTCACGCGGTATGCGGTGGGCTAGTTCTTCGGGATCTTGAGAGTGTGATACATCATGTTACGTCACTTATTATTTGGTGTGCTCACAAAGTCGCACACATCCATATGCCCCACGATGAAGTGCCTACTGGGCTACGACCCTTGGTGGTAAAAAAATTATTATCCGAATAGGTACTCATGTATATTGGGGGTGTTTTGGTAATTTTAGACCGTATCAATAAGGGGCTGATTGCACATTCTTCTTTGTTATTCAGCATATTTCTGAAATTGGTAAATTGCATCAAGACGTATGAGGGTGGTCTCCCTTTTTTCTCCTGTCCGAAAAAAATACACAAATATATCTCTTGACAATGACATGTTTGTTTGTATGAGTTCAACATGGGTGGTTTGTGTAATATTTGGCGTCGGTGGAAGAGGAAATGTGCTAGTGACACTCAAGACATGGAAGAGTTCTTTGTAATCTCAGAATATCTAATTTAGGAAGATAATATGCTTCACTGGAGTTTGGTGTAATTTACTTATCAAAAATTTAATGAGGAAATGGGAAAAGACATGGGCTAGTCCCATTGTAACCTCATCAGCGACAAACCATTGAGGAACAGCAGACAGCCACCCCCCACACACAACACACACACACACACACACACACACAACAGCAGTCAGCCAACCCCCACCCCTTACACGCACACTTTATTTATTTATTTGTTTTTACTTTTGTATGCATGCCTTCTATAATTCCGAAACCATTGCTTCTTAAAATTATCAAAAATTTTAAGACTTGTTTGGTTTGTAATTCTGAAAACAATTTTTAAGAATTAAGAAAGTAAAGAATTGTTTTAAGAGAATTATCTTTTATAGCTTTATGAAAATATACATTTTTATAACTGAATTTTTAAAAAATAATAAAAAATTGAACTACACAAAATAAAACAATTTTTATAAAATACATTTTTTATTATTATTTAATGCTATAATACTGGACAAAAACAAAAACACCAAAAACATAACCCATATCAAATAGGCTGAGTTTATTGATTTTTTTTTTTTTCAGTATTTTATCCAAAGAAGATAATGGAATAAGGAATTTAATAGCGAATCATTATACTATATTATATACCGGATTGAATTTTCTAAAAAGAACAAAAACTTCAAAAGAAAGGTGGGGCATGGTAGGGTTGACTGACTGATGAGCAATCAATGAGAAATGTTTAATACCATAAGCTATGGTTTTGAAAATGTGACAAAAAAATAAAAAAATAAAAAAAGAGGAAAAGAGAGAAGAAGAAGTTGTAAAGCAATTGGATGAGGGTGGTGTGTGCTGTTGGGATGAGCTGTCTTTTGGTGCATTAGATGCTCTTACCTGAGCTGTCCAGCTCCTCCTTAATTACCCTATTGCTTGTCCTCTCCAGCTCAACACTTCTTTACCCCCTCCTTTCTTTTTGGGTCCACCAACTAACTCACCATTTTTTTCATTTTTGGATCAATATAGGGTCAATGTTATGTTGTAATTAATTGTAGATATAGATATATATATATATAGAGAGAGAGAGAGAGAGACAGGGAGAGAGGGGGGTGGGAGTTGGGACTGCTGTACAATCTAGCAATTAAGACTGTTCTCTCTGCAGATTTGGGGGTCACTGCATGCGTCTGGGAAGCTCCTGCCTAGTTGACACTTTTACTATCCAATATCCCTAACATACAGGAGTGTATACATATAATTTTAGTATATAATTGTATGGGGTATTGTATACACAGTGGTTTTTTAATTGGAAAACTCCAATACTAATTATGAAAAAAAAAAAAAAAACTCCAATATTAAGGACGGTTCTCTACAGATTTTTGGGTCATTGCACCTGGGAAGCTCTTGCCTTCTTTTATTTTTATTTTTATTCAAAAGTTCGAGCAAGTGCACACAAAGTCTCTTTGTATGCAAAAGTAAAACTGTAGCCTTATGCTCAATTATTATTTTTATACTTTATTCGGTAAGAAAGAAGAAAATTTGATGGAAGGGAGAGAAAAATAGACGAATGAGACATCTTAGGGAAGATATTATATTTTTTATTTTTTATTTTTGTCAAATTGGATTATATAAAGAGAAGAGAAAAAAATTGACAATTTACTTTCATTAGTAAGATAAAAGAAAAGAAAAATTTTAAAGTTATTTTTACCATTAAATCCATATCTTACTTTACCATTAAAACTTTAATATGTTAATATGGATCCACCTGTGATTAAAATGGGGACGGAGCCATGATTTTATTTCAGGGAACACAGTACAGTTATTAAAAAAAAAAAAATATGGGTAAAAGCCAAAATAAAAAATATGACAATTAATATTAGTAGCCAAAATAAACTCCAATATTAATTGTAGATACAGATATATATATATATATAGTGAGAGAGGAGAAAAAGAGAGATAGAGAGGGGGGTGGGATGGTTGTGCATTAGGGAGCAACTTGGACTGTTGTACAATCCAGCAATTAAGGACTGGTCTCTCTGCAGATTTGGGGGTCACTGCATGCATCTGAAAAAAAAAAAAAAAAAAAAAAAAAAAAAAAAAAAAAAAAACTGCAACATTAAGGACTGTTGTCTACAGATGTTTGGGTCACTGCACCTGGGAAGCACTTGCTTTCTTTCTTTATTTTTTTATTTTTTATTCTGAAGTTAGAGCAAATGCGGACACAATCTCTTTATATGCGAAAGTAAGACTGTAAATTCCGTAATGGAGCCTTATGCTTTAAATTTATCTTTTTTTTGGGAGTCAAAATCTCTTATTTTATTATTTTGCTTGGTAGAAAAAATGAGAGAATAATGGATTAATGAGACACCACGGAGAAGAGATTATGTTCTTCTTAGATTAGATTATATGAAAAAGAATAGAAGAAATTGATAATTTACTTTGATCAGTAAAATAAAAGAAAAGAAAGATTTTTAAATTCTTTTCATCATTAAATCATCATTTACTTTATTTATAAAATTTATTAAATATTTATAAAAAATAATATAATAATTTAAAATTTTTATACTTGTCTTTACTTTTATAAATAAACCTACTTTTCTTTTCTCTTTGCTTCCGCCTCTATTTGGACCGAGTTTTTATTTTTTTATTTTATGACAAGTCTATTTTATTATCTTTTACTCCGTGTTCTATAACATAATTTCTATCAAATAAAAGAGGTTTCTACCTTTTGACATAAGTACACGTGTATGGCATGTCTATTAGTCGGTGAGGCTTAGTTTGGTATCATACCCTGCTGATTTTTAAATTTGGAATTATGTACTTGTAAAATTTTACTATTCCCTCACCTAAAATCATTAAAAAAAACTCCGTATATGATATATACACACAGAGAGTGTGTGGTTTGGTTGTTGGACTTGATTAACGTCATCACAGTCGTCATTATCAACAATGACTCAATCAGTGAGCAGATAGTGAGAGACAAAGCAAAAAAGGAGAAAAAAAGCCAAAATAAAAAAGACTAAGCTAAGCAAAATAAAGCAAGGATTCTCTCTGTACACAGCACACCGCAATGGACAGCTATGATCGCTCACTGTCCATGCTTCACACGTCTGAGCAAATACAACCATTGATCTTGTACCCTACAACCTTTTGTAGTCCACACCTGTGAATAATGACAATCGTTCATTATAATACAACACAATATTACCATTATGAAATGTTTCGGACAACTATTATCATTCATTGTGCTTATTCTACACGTGTGAGCAGTTATAATCATTTATCTTGTACTCTTAATAATTTATTTTGATAACTCGTTTGTAATTGTTTTATGCTTGTAAATAATCACAATCGTTTATTACTACTCCGACACAAGGAGAAAGACTTGTTAAACTTTTGGATGAGAATGCCCTCTCTCTCTCTCTCTCTCTCTCTCTCATTTTCAACTTTTCACACTAGAAACTCTCCAAGGCAGCATTTTATGTAATATTTCAGCCACTCCTCTCTTTGCTCCCCACTGACGAAGAAAAGAAAGCAAAAGAAGAAAAGAAGTGTGTGTGGAAATAGCAATGCTTGAAGCCCCCCATTCAACTCTATAGTCTATACAGCACATATATATATATATATATATTTATGCTTATAATATTCCTTACACAAAGACCTCACGAGTGGGCTCCTGATACTCATACTGATTTACTTACAGGTCCCCACCTGCCACCACACCCCACTTGGACCCCAATCCCAACCCACCTAATACTCATCCCCTCTTTCTCTCTCCAGCTTTGGAGACTACTCTCCCTCTCCTATTGTACTCTCTCTCTCTTGACAGCAGTCAACCACAAAGAATGATCAAGAACCCCACCTTTGTGCAGTTTGGCTGAAAATATTTGTAACAACTTAATCTCCAAGTTTCTCTCTCCTCTTTTTCTCTCTCTCTAACCGGGTCCTTCTTCAATTGGGCAATATTTGTTTGAATCGTGAACAAGTTTGTCACAAGACCCCATATGAAAAAAAATTCATGGAGTCACAGAGCAATAACCAAAGTGTTACTACTACTACTAGTGGCTCAGACCACCATGTCCACAGACAACAAACGGTTCGACCTGAACCGGGACCTGGGTCCGGTCCGGCCCCAGACCATGGTCCATTCATGGGCTCCATCTCAGAATCACCTTTCTTCTCATCAGACAACACCAACTCTGCTTCCACAAAAGTAGTCGCCAAGAAACCCTCCAAGGACCGCCACACCAAGGTCGACGGCCGTGGGAGGCGCATCCGCATGCCGGCCATGTGCGCCGCCCGGGTCTTCCAGCTGACCCGGGAATTGGGTCACAAGTCCGACGGGGAGACCATCGAGTGGCTACTCCACCATGCGGAGCCGGCGATTATCGCCGCCACCGGCACGGGCACGATTCCGGCCAATTTCTCGACCCTCAACGTCTCGCTCCGTAGCGGTGGCACCACCATCTCAGCTCCGCCGACGAAGTCGGCCCCGCTCTTTGTCCACGGCAGCGGCGCCACCATGTTGGGTTTCCATCATCAGCTCTCCGGTGGCGGTTATGGAGAAGACTCGAGTGAGAATTACATGAAGAAGAGGTTCAGAGAAGATTTGTTCAAAGAAGACATTCATCAAACAGTTGATAGAAGTGGTGCAACCTCGCCTTCCGGAGCTAAACTAGAGAGAACCGTAATTCAAGACCAAGAACCGGGTTCGGACCCAAAACCCGGTTCAGTTCAGCCAACGAGCTTCATCCCAGCTCCGGCTATGTGGGCCGTGGCACCGGCCACCACGAATGGCGGCAGCGCTTTCTGGATGCTGCCAGTGAGTGGTGGCGCCACTGCGGTGTCCACTGTGGGGACCGGCCAGCTGGAGCACCACATGTGGCCGTACAAGGCATCACCCGTGCAGAGAATGGGTGGTTTCGAGTTCCCGGGCGGGGGCCGGTTCAGTCCGGTTCAACTCGGACCAATGGTACTGCAACAGCCTCAGCCGGTTCAGCAGCTGGGATTAGGTATCTCAGAGACTACAAACATGGGAATGTTAGCATCCATTAATGCATATAATAACAGTGGTGGTGGTGGTAGGGTTGATTTAGGTATGAATTTGGATCATCATCATCATCAAAATCAACCTCAAGCTAGTGACAGTGGTGATGAAAACCCTAAGGATTCTCAATGATTTCATGTTAAATACCACTTTCAATCTTTTTTTTTGAATGTAACTATGTTAAATCTTTTGATGGTCTCTTTTAGTCTATGGTTTGTGGTTTCCTTTTTGTGTTATTTATTTTTGGCTTCCTTTGGACCAACCACTAGGGATTGTTGCCTTTGTTAATGGAAAAAGTGGAGTATGTTCATTTGGGATGTGAATGACATCAAAGCCCAAATTTTCCTTCCTCAATTATGTGATTGTAATGACACTTCCATTTATCTTTATTCAACATGCTTATTGAGTGAGGATTTGGGATCTTCTTGCAAAAAGAGAAAATCTTGTCCCAAGCAATTAATTGCAATGAAAAGCATCTCTTCATGTAATGGGCGGGGCAAAAGTTTAGGTGGAGCTCTCTACCCCCTGTAAGGGCTAAGGTCTCAACTCGCAATGTCCTCGTTTGGTTGTGGATTGCCATGACTATCCGTCCACTCTAACAATGAAATAAAAAGAGGATCCAAGAACAATTTCACGCGGATCAAACATTGAGTCCGCTCTGATACTACTTATAACTAGTCAAATGCTTGTCATCTAATCCAAAATCTTAACGTGTTAGGTGGAGCTATCTACCGTAAGTTTAATATCTTCCTCTTTTGGATTCGATGTGAGACAATAACTTCTAGCACCTTACCAGATTAATGAAAAATCTAATCTTGCAGTCAAGTCGTTTAAATTAAGCATTCAGCTGTTCAAATTCAACCTCAACAATGAACACTCAACTATACGAGTGTTCCGAGTTGAACTTGGACAATACCACCAAACTTGAACTAAGTTTGTTTGATCCATTAGCCAATTTCGAATTCAATCTCAAACTCAAGCTTGAGAGCTGGATTGATAAGAAGAATTTTTATTGTAAATCCAAACAAGCCCTAATAACCAAATCATATTCACAAGTATGCTCTAGTATGTGGAGCAGTGGAGGCGAACAATTTGTAATGAACTTAAGGCCATACTAGACTTTGATGTAACGAAATTGATGAGTGGACACGAACTCAAACTTAGTCGAGTCGAAGAACTATGTTTACGATTCAATTGATAAACATGTTCATAAATATGTTCGCATACCTAGTAAGTGAAGTCATGAGCTATGTGAACTCAATTATGTTCAAACACACATACTTCTTTGTTCATGTGAGAACTTGAACCATCTACTTCATACGTTGAAAGGCGAGAAAGTACTATCAAACTATGATCGATGGTCTAGAAATTTTAAAATAATAATCTTGACATATACATAATTTAGGTAATGTTCCATTATTACTTAAAAGATTTAAGAGAGAATTTTGATTGCTGAAGTTTTACATGAGTAATTTAGAAACCTTTTTTTTTTTTTTTTTTAATTATTTACTCATTAAGATTTTAAATGTTTAGTGTTTACGGGCAGGTAAAGAGTCTCTCAAATAAAATTTTATTCTATTATTGGATTTTCAAACGCTTTTTATTCACTTTTTTCCTTATGGGATAATCACTTAATTTATATAAAATTAAGTAGGAAAATATTTTTTAAGACCTAAGAATTAGAGTGAATTGGGTGATCTAAAAGTTTTGATTAATTGTTTACACAAAATATAAGGAAGTGAGATCCTTTATTTTTTTTGTATAGTGCAAACATGACCAATCAAAATTGTTCAATGAGACAATTGGCTATAACTCTTTGACATAAGTATCGTTGCTCAATGAAAATGATTTTCATACCGTTTACAAACTCTTATTGGTAACGTATCATGTATGGAAAATATAAAGAAGTTTAACCCTCCATTTTATTATATTTGATAAAGATGACCGATCAAAGCTTATAAGTCAAACAATTCACTGTGAGAGTTTAACCCAAGTATCATTACTTATGCTCTAGGTGCTATTTGATTACTCAATTCCTCGCTTAATTCTGAATGTATTAAGCGTTTATCGAATTAAGTGCATTTGATAACGCACTTTGAATATTGCTGAAAACGGTAAGCGTCACTTAAAAATGAGATAAACTTTAAATAACAGGGACATCACTTATCACTGAATGTTAAACACTAAAAATTCATAAAGAAATCATTTTTTTTTTTTTTTTTTTTTTTTTTATCACTTAAAAACTTCAATACTTAAAATTCAGGTCCTAAAATTTCCAATACCTAGTTTTCAGTTTTATCAAACAACACCTGTATTTAGTAAGCTATTAAATAACGAGAAATTATTACATGATTCGAATTACGAAGTATATAATATCCTAAGAGTATATTAGTACGTGGTATTTTCTATCAATGGTATTAAATTATATAATTCTGATCAATCACAATATGACACGTAAATAAAAATCTAAGTAATAGTGATACATTTACTTGCTTATCGAATTATAATGGACAAAAATTAACCTTATAATCTTGAACCCTCTAATAATTTTCCATCAAACAACCCCTCCTCGTAATATTAGTCTATTATCATGGTTCTAATATTATAAATATTTTAGCTAGTGGAAGTTGTACATTATTGACTAATTTGCAAGACAGGAGTCATTTTCACATTTAATTCTTTGGCCTATTTTGTTCAACTATAGATGATTTTGTCCCTAAACTCGAGTTTTTTACGTTCTTAGACTTTTGATAATTTTGTAAAATTGTAGTCGTTTTTCAATAATGATGTCTTGATCCAAAAACTTATATAGTTTTAGGCTTGAATTTTTTTTTTTTTTTTTTTTTTTTGAAAAGTGTTTTAGGCTTCAACTTGTCAGTGAAAAAGTCGTCTAGAATGTCCATTATGAAGCTGGGTAGCGGAGTTAAGATGTTGGAGAGACTAGGTTATTTTGGTCAATTAGAATGTGTGTTTGTGTGTTTTTTTTTTTTTTAAAGACAAAAACTATCTGGCCTTCTTTTTATTTTTAAATAAGTTGAGACACACTCATCTACTTTCATTTGGAGAATCAAGCCTTCCAAATGAGAAGGAGATATTACTTTAATGCCCTTGGATAATAATGACGTGACCCAGTAATATGGGTTGTTATATATATATATATATATATATATATATAAATTGACAAATTCTTATTTTGGCGCATATATGTTGAGTGGCATTCGAATTTGTTTTTTAAAAAATTATTAATTAAATATTCATATACACACCCACAAATGTCTATTATAGGAATCAAATCCCTCAGTGGTAAATTAATACATTTGAGTGGAAACTATATTTACGGCATAATTTTGTTTTCATAAATGAACAAAGAAATGGAAATTACAAAGTTCATATTCGAGTGGTCTTATTGCAACTACAGTTGCAATCCAATCCAATTTTAGGTTTGGAAGCAACTATGGGACTGTTTGGTGTGACATATAAATTTGTATTTTGGCTAATTTCGTTATCAAAATAAGTCCGAGTGTAGATTTTTGTTCGTTTTGTCAAGACTCAAGATTGGAAGCGGAATTGGCGGAATTGAAGAAGTGACCGTGCTCGTACTTTGATACACTCCGTGATGATGAAAACAACGCCTTAGTATGGTATACGAGTGTGTGAGGATACTTAGGGAGTTCAAAATTAGGCTTTGATAGATGTTTTACGTTCTGCCTCATCTGAACCGTTTCAACTTTTAAAGGTTTTTTAAGATGTTTAAGTCTAACTAACTTGAACCAGTTCAGCCCCACTTGATCCGGTTCAAGTTTTTACGTCGATTTCTTGATTTTTCCTTTGCCCAACTTGAACCAGTTCAACCCCACTTGAACTGGTTCAAATACTTCAGACGTTTTTGGTAACTTTGTTTCCTGATTTGTTTTGATTCCTATTTTGTGTAGACTTCTTCTATATTGATTGTGCAAGAAGTTGGCTTATTTTCCAAGTGTTTTTAGTGTTCAAAAATTCTATATAATCTCTCATTTACTCAAAATTCAGGACGGCTTTTTGGAACATAAATTCATTTATTTAAGAGAGCCTTTTTAAGAGATATTCTTTAAAATATCAAACCTGATTTTTCTTGTGACGACCTAGATTCTCAGAACCCGGTGCATCAGTGAGTGACCCAAAACTGACCCGATATCAGATCCCAAATACGGAAATGAAAGAAAAAAACAAGGTCTCTAGAGATGTATGTGATACCTCTCGATTCTAGAGTCACGGGTGATCAAGTCCGAGCACAGATCCGAGGGATACCAAACAATTAAGTATATAAATAAGCATATAATACAAGAAGAATTTAAAGAATAAAGAATAAATAAGCTGAAAGAAAATTAAATAATAAATCCTCGAAATATTAATAAAATAATCCAATATTCCAAAAACCTCCAATATTTATTACAACTCGGGAATCCATGTAGTGGACCCCTAACAATAACCCAACTGGAAAATAGAATAGCTGAAATAAAATCCAAGTTAAAATATGAAGAAAAATCCTATGTAGTCGAAAGAGTGAGTGACAGTCTCTGCTCGACACAAACAAGCTCTAGGCCTGGAACTGTCGAACACTTGAAAAATAAAAGTGGGTCGGGTCCACGAGCAAGTTCTACTCTGCTACAATCCAAATAGAGACCCGATACGCAGAAACATCCTAGATAACTCAACAATAGCTAAATAGTCCATAAGTATAAATATACACACTATAGTACGCTCACTGGACTATAGGTCTGTCTCAACTTGAATAGAAGGCAACATACAAATCACACTTAAAGTGGGATTGTGTACCTAGACCTACCAGGGCACCCAGATCTCTACTATATCTGGTTATCCATCCTAGGAAATATACGTACTCTAATCATGATCCTGAGACTCAAGCTCATATCATGGCACCATAATCATATATATATATATATAAAATCCGCATAAGCCTAATACCAAAAATGTTATTCATCTAATATAGTGGCCTGACATAAATAAGTAGGACTTAACTCTATCATTAATCCATTCCCTTATATATCCAAGTAGGTAGGACTTAACTTTTATTAGTTAATTCATCCCTAAGATGCCACCATCCCATACTGGTGCATCACATCTATACAGTTTAATAATTGACAAGATAAAAATAAATTAAAACATCAATTAATCCAGAATCAGCATAATAAAAATCTGATATGAAAATGACTATATTATGCATCCAATACACGATTTAAAAATCATGTCACAGTCATTTCAGCTGCTAAAATAATATTAAGCAATTAAATTCTCTATATCCATTAACAACATGCAAACTTGTTTAAAATTTCATATTGTTCTAATCATTAGCA